ACACAGAGTCCTCAGAGACACACAGAGTCCTCAGTGACACAGAGTCCTCAGAGACACACAGAGTCCTCAGAGACACACAGAGCCCTCAGTGACACAGAGTCCTCAGAGACACACAGAGCCCTCAGTGACACAGAGTCCTCAGAGACACACAGAGTCCTCAGAGACACACCTTCGCTGTGTGGGAGGGGCAGAGACACAGAGAGTACAATGGAGAAATGAGACACAGATGACCACTCCCTTCTTTCCTCTCTCCAGGGAGGGAACTGGTCTTGGTGTGGCCCCCAGGAGTCCCTGCACTGCAGGGTCGGAGATCTAATGGGAAAACATGGACCGATATCCACTAGGAACCGGGTGATGCTCACTGACACCCACCTACCTCTGGCCGGAGACTTCACAGGTAATGTCCCATAGATAGTCTGATTGGTCATAGGGTGTCCACACACATTGCGGCTGGTCATAGGATTTTTTCATTTCAATCAATGTATTTGTCATAGACAGGGGACCGGAGACACAGCTCAGGAAATACAGAAGTATACTAAGGTTGTGTGGAGACACCGGGGTCATGGAGAGGTTCAGAGCACACTGGAGTCACAAAATGCTCTGGGGTCACTGCATGAGAAAGGACTCCCTCGGGGACACTGCGTGAGATAGGATGTTCATTGGGTCATGGGGTGACACAGGAGCACAAAGGTCACTTAAGACACTGGAGACACAGGGGTCACTGGAGATTCTGGAGACACAGGGGTCACTGGAGATTCTGGAGACACAGGGGTCACCGTAGACTCTGGAGACACAGGGGTCACTGGAGACAAAGGGGTCACTGGAGATTCTGGAGACACAGGGGTCACTGGAGACACAGGGGTCACTGGAGACTCTGGAGACTCTGGAGACACAGGGGTCACTGGAGACTCTGGAGACTCTGGAGACACAGGGGTCACTGGAGATTCTAGAGACACAGGGGTCTCTGGAGATTCTGGAGACACAGGGGTCACTGGAGATTCTGGAGACACAGGGGTCACTGGAGATTCTGGAGACACAGGGGTCACTGGAGACACAGGGGTCACTGGAGACTCTGGAGACACAGGGGTCACTGGAGACTCTGGAGAC